GAGCTGTCACCACAGAGCCCGACATGGGGCTCAAACTCAAGAACTATGAGATCATAACCTGAGCCAAAGTCAGATGCTTAACCGACTGAGCCACCCAGGCGCCCCCTATGTTTTTACTCTAATTTTTTTTTAATGTTTATTTCTTTTGAGAGGGAGAGAGAGCCATGTGCATGGGGCGGGGGGTGGGGGGGCTGAGGGAAGGAGAGAATCCCAAGCAGGCTGCATGTTGTCGGCACCCAGCCAGACACGGGGCTCAGTCTCACGAACCATAAGATCGTGACCTGAACCGAGATCAGGAGTTGGATGTTTAACTGACTGAGCCACCCAGGCGCCTTTACCATGTGTTTTAGTCAAGAGCAAGGCATATATATATGACGGTCTTTGTCTGTCTCTAACTGTCATTCACAGTGTCAGTCAAGGTCAGTTTGGTTGCAGGTATCAGAAATACATTTGAGGATCTTAAAGCACAAAGGAGCCTTGTTGATTGAGAATCCCACGGATCCTTTGGAGCCCAAAGATGTGTGATGCCAGTTGGCCTGAAGGGGACCTGGTAGCCAGACCTTAAAGTTGCCAGGAGCCACCTCTGGTGTCACTGCAGCTTGCTTCTGTCTTGCCTGCTATCTGTGCAGATCTCTTCTGTGTTTCCCTGCACTGGCCCAGTGTGTGTCCTGCTTTATATCCAGTCTTGACTGAGTCTCTGCGTTTTGGGGTGGGTGGATCTCAGTGGCTCAGCCTTGGGCCTGGACCTGGGTCTGAGGTCTTGCCATCCAAACATGCCTGTTAAGGACCTACTTCTTTGAGGGTGAGTGACAGTTGTCCAAGAAGATGGTCCTCCTTGGGTAGACCTGTCAGATGGATCAGTACTCTGCTCTTAATCCTGCCTTCCCGCCCACTCTTCTCACCCTGAACTTGCCTGTGTGACAGAGACCACACATTCAACTGCTGGGTCTCTGAACAACAGATCGGTTTTTATCTTGCCCTCATTTCTCTGGGGTGGAGTGAGTTCTTCAGAGTGCTGTTTCCTGTTCTGGTAGAATCCCGGAATCCCAGAATCTTCTAGGTCAGTTGGCATTCAAATTTTGCGATTGCAGTACCTAGTACTTCCTGACCCAGCATGTATACATGCAAAATTATAACCCAAACAAAAGTTTTATGAACAGAAATTGCTTTTTTTTTTTAATGTTTATTTTTGAGAGAGCGAGTATGGAGGAGGGACAGAGAGTCACAGGCAGACTCCACACTATCTGCGCAGAGCCGGATGTGGGGCCTGAATTCACGAACCACAAGACTGTGACCTGAGCTGAAATCAAAAGCTGGATGCTTAACTAAGGCACCCAGGCTCCCCCAGAAATTACCTTTTTTACAGACAGTCTATACTAGTATTTTATATTCTGTTGCTTTACTTTGTTTTTTGTTTATTATTACTATTACTATTATTTTTTTAACGTTTATTTCTGAGACAGAGCATGAGTAGGGGAGGGGCAGAGAGAGAGGGAGACACAAAATCCGAAGCAGGCTCCAGGCTCTGAGCTGTCAGCACAGAGCCCGACGGGGCTTGAACTCACAAACTGTGAGATCATGACCTGAGCCGAAGTCGGTTGCTCGACCGACTGAGCCACCCAGGCGCCCCTGTTTTTTGTTTATTAAAAAAATTTTTTTATAATGTTTATTTTTGACCAGGAGAGAGTAAGTGGGGGAGGGGCAGAGAGAGGAAGACACAGGATCTGAAGCAGACTCCGGGCTCTGAGTTGTCAGCACAGAGCCCGACGAGGGGCTCCAACCCACAGAATGCAACCCACAGAATACCTGAGCTCAAGTCGGATGCTTTACCGACTAAGCCATCCAGGCGCCTTTTATTTTTTTTAATGTGTTTCGGTTGCAACCCATCTAATTGGTGATGTGATCCATTGCTGGGTTGTGACCTGACAGTTGAAGACACAAGTCTGTTCTGCATCATACCTGTGACGTTCCAGATGCCCGGTCAGTTGCCTGTGCCTGTTAGAATGTTTGCTCTCCGAGCATCCTTTGCCTGTTTTCACCCGGCACTGCTGGAAGTCCTTTCCTTTCGTGGAACTCCGGCCCGCCTCACTGAAGCTTGCTTCCGGTCTGTGTGGTGTGGAACGGTGCACGAGAGGGCAGCTTCTGGAGTCGGCCAGGAGTCCTGTCCCAGTTCTGCACCTTCGTGGCCAAGTCCCCGTGTGGGCAAGTGACTCTCTGGGTTTGTTTTGCCATCCGAAGAAGGCGCCGTTGCTCCTTAGTTGTCCTTTGACTACTGTGCGTAGACACTTACGTTACATGCTGGTGACAGCAAATCCAGACCTAGTCCTGACTTTCACGGTGCGTAACAGTCTGAAGAGGCAGGAGTTCCCTGCTCACAGGGGCGTGTGCACTGTGAAGCGCCACCTGAAGTTTTAGGAAAGAAATGTATTCAGTCCGTGAGTAAATGGTGGGGAACCGGGCAGTGGGGTAGGTTCGGGAAGGCTTGCGGTGGAAATGGTGTTCAGGAGGACCCGTGAAGGGGGAGTAAGTTAACCGGACAGGGAAGAGCAGACCCCAAGGAGAGCAGTGAATGATCCCCTGAAGTGGGGCAGAAAGGAGACGGAGACCGAGAGTGTGAGGGGGTTGAAAAGCGCCCCGAAAATGAAGAACCAGTGGCCAGCTTCTGGAGGCCGCTTGATGGAGATTTTGGAGTAAAGGCAGTGGGAAACTGTTGGAGGATTTGAGGCCGACCACGTTTTTTAGTTAGGTTTCTAGCTTGGCGTCGTGTCAGGAGGCAGCTGAGCAGAAGGGGTTTGGGAGGCTGTGTGGACTTGGAGGTTAAGGGTGCGCTTTGGAGTCTGAGTACAGGTGTTGACCAGCTGGCGCTTGGGGAAAGGCCTCAAGTGTGTGAGCACAGCTGTCTTGTTAAAGCGCACCCGCCACTGGCGGTTGCAGGCCTGCCTTTTGCTCTTTGATGCGCCTCGTCTCCCTTCCCTGAGTGCCCTGTTTGGACTGACCCTTTCTCCGCCCGCCCCCGCCCCCGCCCCAGGAGGTGGCCTCGGTGGTACCAGAAGAGGCGGGGCCGACGTGAACATCCGGCATTCGGGCCGGGATGATACTTCCCGCTACGATGAGAGGTAAGATTGGGCAGCTGGTTTCCTGGGATGCGGGCGGTCACGTGGGGGAGCCCCGCCACAAACCTCTGCCCACCTCATCCAGGCCCGGCCCCTCCCCGCTTCCCCACAGGGACCGGGACCGGGACCGCGAGCGGGAGCGCAGGGAACGAAGCCGCGAGAGAGACAAGGAGCGAGAACGGCGACGCTCCCGCTCTCGGGACCGGCGGCGGCGCTCACGGAGTCGCGACAAGGAGGAGCGGAGGCGATCCAGGGAGCGTAGCAAGGACAAGGACCGGGAACGGAAGCGGCGAAGTAGCCGGAGCCGGGAGCGGGCACGACGCGAGCGGGAGCGCAAGGAGGAGCTACGTGGTGGCGGAGGCGGTGGCGACATGGCGGAGCCCTCTGAGGCTGGTGATGCGCCGCCTGATGACGGGCCTCCTGGGGAGCTGGGTCCTGACGGCCCTGACGGTCCAGAGGAGAAGGGCCGGGATCGAGACCGGGAACGACGTCGGAGCCACCGGAGCGAACGGGAGCGGCGCCGGGACCGCGACCGAGACCGGGATCGCGAGCACAAGCGGGGGGAGCGGGGTGGTGAACGGGGCAGGGATGAGGCCCGAGGTGGGGGTGGTGGCGGCCAGGACAACGGGCTGGAGGGTCTGGGCAACGAAAGCCGAGACATGTACATGGAGCCTGAAGGAGGTGATGGGTATCTTGCTCCAGAGAACGGGTATTTGATGGAGGCTGCGCCAGAGTGAAGAGGGCTTCTTCCTCTCCCCGCCCCCCCTCCCGTTTTGTTTGGACGCGTTCCTACCCGTCCCTTTGCTGTCGTCCTCTTCCCAACCTTCTTGGCCACCACCTAAGTTTGCCAGCCAAGGGTAGGAGTCTCCTTATTTGTTGTGGCCCCTTGGATTTAAAATAAAATTAATTTCCTGTTGATAACAAGCACCTTGGTTTTTTCGCTGCTTTTAATGTCTTCCCAGAAGGTTGTGCCCTTTCCAGCGGCCCTACTCTGGTCTGTGTCCCAGGGCATGCCAAAAACTTGGGCTTTTTTGACCTGGGGCTGGGGCTACCCCCACTACCCCAGAGCCATTTAAACTGGGATAAGGAGGTGCTCTGAAAGGGTTCCCTCTGTTAGGGTCTTAGATGTCTTTGTGGTTTCCTTTCCTTTTCTTTTTCTTTTCTTTTTCCTTTCTCTTCATCTAACATCTTTCTCAGGGCTCTTATGGGGCCGTCTCTCTGTAACCCTTGTCTTGGTGAAGATGGGGCTCCAAGATGAGGTTACTCTGTGGAAGCTGTGATTTTGGAAGGGGAGCTGTTGTTGAGGCTGGAGAGCTGGGAAGGGTGGGGAGATGAAATGGGAGCACAAGCTGGGGGAGGAGGAGCTGAGCCACCCAGGTGCCCCTCTTCTTTTAAATGTTTATTTTTGAGAACGCACATGTGAGAGTGGGGGAGAGGCAGGGAGAGGGACAGATCTGAGGCCGGCTCTGTGCCGACAGCAGAGAGCCTGATGTAGGGCTTGAATTCAGGAACCATGAGATCATGACCTGAGTTGAAGTTGGATGCTTCACAGAGCAAGCCTCCCAGCCACCCGCACCATGAGTATTTTTACTTCACACATGGCTCTGACAGTGGAGGATTAACAGGAAAGGGGAGGTCCCATCAGCAGTTGAGATTCCAGCTGTTTCTGGACAGAGAAGATCACATCAGGTGACGGTGAGGACACTTCAGTCTGGTGACCGCTTGAGAAGGAAGCCAGTTAGCCTTGCAGAACCTTGGAGCGGCTCCAGACCACAACTACAAGTGCAGCGAGGGTGGCGGACTCCAGAATCTGTACGCGGAACAGTCGCCCTCCATTTCAGCACTCGATGCTTAGGGAGCTGGGTGGGCATTTCCTGCCCAGGCAAATACAGGAGCTACTTTGGTGTTTGAAAAGTTTCTCTGTCTAAAGGCAAACTTGGCTTGATAACCCAGAGGCAGCCTATTAAATCTGTCTGACACACATGGATTATGCTATTTTTTTTTTAGAGTTTATTTTTGAGAGTGCACGTGGGGGAGGAGCAGAGAGAGAGAGAGGATCTGAAGCAGGTTCTGCGCGGACAGCACAGAGCCCAATGTGGAGCTCAAACTCACCAACCATGAGATCAAGACCTGAGCCAAAGTCAGACGCTTGATCGACTGAGCCACCCAGGCGCCCCTCTAGAAAGAATAGCACTTGCATTGCTGAAAACCAAGCACATGGATTATGCTTCTAACTGCTTCAGTCGTCCTAAGCATCCAAGGGTGACAGGCATTTGAGAAAATCCTGCAACAGGAGACCACGAGGTTAAGTGGAAAAACTGGCCCTGGAAGGAAGACTTTAGAGAATAAAAGAGAGCTCAGTGTCTCTAATTAGCATATTCTCAAAGATCTCCCAGATGCTGCAACTACACTTCTGGAATTGGCTACAAAGAACAGTGTTCTGGACTAGCGTGGCACATGCCGGTTATGTTACATAAAGACCAGTCACGGTTTGTAAAAGAACTTGTGAAAGGCACTGGGGACCTGGGCTCGAGGGAGTCTGATGCCTAAGAGAAGGAAAGCCAACACCCTCCCTTTTTCTTTGAGGACATTTGCCAATTTGGTTTGGGGGAACAGACTCAAAAGTGGCAGTCCACTGGGCTGAGTTCACAGAGGTCACACCATGCAGGTGGGGCTTGAGGGCAAAATTATGCTGAGCCAGATGGGGCACTGAGCCCCCAGATCTACACGCAATCCCCACTCAAGGCGTTTGCCAACTGCTAAACTGCTTGCTGTCAGTACAAGAAACTCCCACCCCCACCCCCAAAAGGGCTCATGGGAAAGAACTAGCTGGAGGCTACAGAGCTGAGCAGAAGTGGCAGCAGCCTTGCGGGTCTGGGGGAGACAGGTTGGGGGTCCCACCCTGCAGGGAGCAATGGCCATGCTGGAGATCCCCAGAGCGGCCACCATATTGGAGGAAGCCACAAGTGAAACAGCAGACATGAAGAAACCTGAAAGTGAACCTCATCAGGATTTAGGTGATCTGCCTGCCAGGAGAGAACTTAGCCCTTTGGAGGAAGGTCTCATTCAGAGCCTCTGTGATTTTTAGTACACAATACTCAGCATCTACTCAAACATCATTAGGCACTTTAGAAAGACAAGGACTTGCATTGCTGAAAACCAAGGAAAGAACAGCCAACAGACCCAGGCATTCTGACCCGGGCATTCTAATGTTGTTCTATATGTTGACAAAACAAGGAAAGGGAGATGGAGGGAGAGGGAGAGAAGGAATCCAAAGCAGGGCCCGTGATGTCAGTGCAGAGCCTGACCTCAAACCATGAGATCATGACCTGAGCTGAAATCAAGAGCCAGATGCTTAACCTCCTGAGCCACCCAGGCGCCCCCAGGATGGAGAACTTTAACTGAGAGCTGCAGTCTTTAAAAGAAAAAAGTCAAATGGAAACTTTAGAGCTGAAAACATTAACAAGTTAAGAGTTGAGATGCATTCTGTAATCAGATACTTCGTGACCTGAAATGTTCTGTTACAAACATTACAAGTACTAGGGGAGAAAAAGAATTAGACAAACGTTCTTGAAAGTAAAAGAAATCTCACGACCTTTTAAGGAAGTTAACAGGATATACATCACCAAAACAAGGGATTTAAAAGAGAGGAAACTATGGGGCGCCTGAGTGGCTCGGTCGGTTAAGTGTCCAACTTCGGCTCAGGTCATGATCTCACAGTTCGTGGGTTTGAGCCCCGCATTGGGCTCTGTGCTGACCTCTTGCTCAGAGCCTGGAGCCTGCTTCATATTCTGTGTCTCCTTCTCTCTCTGCCCCTCCTCCACTTGCACTCTGTCTCACTCTGTAAATAAATAAATAAAATTTATTTATTTACAATAAATGTAAAAATAAAAAT